GTAGGGCAGGGCTACAATGGGTGATCAGAGTTTTACACAGGAAGACATAGGGAAAAATATTCTTCTCAAGAAGAAAAAAGCCATGATTGGTCATATTTATATGGAAGCATCCTCAGGTAGTGTAGATTCAAGTTTGCTCAAATCATGACCCCCATGAGTATAGAGGGGTCATAAAAGACAATCTTAGTTAAGCAAAGTAATATAAAGGATATATCAATAAAAATTTTCTTTCTCAAGAACAGCAAAGCCATTAGTAGTCATATTAATTTAAAAGCATCCTCAGGTAATTGATTGTATGTTGTTTAACGTCCCATTTGAGAATTTTTCACTCATATAGAGATGTCTCCACATACCGATGAAGGGCTTCAAATATTGACCTTTACTCAGCACTCAGGGCCATGGAGCATTGAGGTAACTTTATTGTGCCAAGGCCTGCCATGACATGGGGCCTTGGTTTTTAAGGTCTCATTGGAAGGACCTGCAACTTTTACTTCAAAGTGCTGAGTGCATGGCGAAGGAACAGTTGCAACCCATTTTTTATTGACTTAGTTCAGTCGTGGCCGAGAGGTAGTGTAGACTCAAGTTTGTTCCAATCCCCCTCCTCCTGACCTCTTTTATATTCAAGCTTTTCAATACTGAACTATTTCTGTTTTTTTTCTTAGCCAAAGAACTCAGTTGAGCTATGGACCTCTGGTCAATAATAAAATATAAAAAATGAAATTTGCCCATCCACCCTAATTTTTAAGCAAATTAAGATGAGAATCTAAAGTTTGAATTGAATAAACAATAAAATCTATCCATATTGGCATTTACAATGTGGCATTGAATAAACAAAATCTATCCATATTGGCATTAACAATGTGGTAGTGTGAAAATATTATATAAGAAAACTTTATGTAGATATTTTCAATAATAAAATATAAACAAGAGGCCAATGGGCCACATCGCTCACCTGAGCACACTGACTTGGAAGGAGCAGAAATCAGTTCAGTATATTGAAAAGTTTTAAGGGGGGGGGGGGCAAACTTAAATTAACACTACCTCAGGATGCTTCTATATCAATATTACTAATCATGGCTTTGCTGTTCTTAAACAGAAGAATTTTAAGATTTTTTTCCATTGTATTACTATGTAAAACTCTGATTGCACAACAATCCACTCATAAAAAATATGAAATTACATTTTGTTCTTCGTAACAAAGAGAGTCATAAATCCTGTATGAAGTCTCTTTCCCATTCATTTTGATCTTGCTACTCCAGGTAGAGTGAAGACAATCGTCTTGTTTTGGTCAACCCTTTTTGTACAGTCACAATAAAAGAATTAGACAACAATACCAGAATTGAAGCAGCTAGCCTATATGTCATTTCTATACAGAAACCTCATACATCAGCAATTTGTAAATCATTTTTCCCGGTTGAGTAACCTTAAATTTCCTTAAAACACATTATACAAACCAATTAATGATTATAAATTTCTTTAATGATTCAATTAGGTATATGTTTGGATTATACTGTTTTATGAGAATTTTACATACCTACAAATCTATATCTATCAAATGTTTTTTAGCTCACCTGAGCTGAAAGCTCAAGTGAGCTTTTCTGATCATCCGTTGTCTGTCATCCATCTGTCTGTCCATATGTAAATTTTTCACATTTTCAACTTTTTTCTCAAGAAACCACTGGGCATATTTATAGGGCATATTTTTAGTAGGGTGACGCAAGCCCAATGTGATGTAGAAATTTTCAAAAAGATGTTCACATACATGTACAGTACAAGAATAAATTTTAAATTATGATAACAAATGATGTTTTAACATAACTTTGCCATCTAGGCCTATTTCCAAAAACAGGCAAATTGTGTGTGTGTGTGTTGGGGGGGGGGGGGGGTGACAAAATTGATTGGGTTTGGCTTTTCAAGAAGGTTTTCGCCTAATCAAATACTAAAAAAAGTTTGCACATTTTGATAAATTCATTAAAAACGCTTTGTACTAAAGTAGTATTATTTGTTGTTGAGAAAATAAATTTAAAAAGTTCAATTATGGGCCAAAAATTTATATCCCCCCTTTTATCAAAAACTATTTTACATCATTAATTAAATTCTGTTATTTCAGACTGGTAATGAATTAGGTAAAGGAAATACCTATAAGAGGCTCATAGGTCACATGGTCACCTGAGCATTTTATGCTCGATTTGACGAAACATGTACTGTGTAAATTGTAGAATTCTTTTGACTTTTTCTTTGGTAAGCCCAATATGAAGGAGTGTGCATTTAGAGGCAAACACCTTAGTGCGGGTATTACTGTCTCATGACAGCATCTAGTTTATCATAGTTGGTACAAAGTGTCCTCGGGTGAAGGGGAGTTTAAATTGTAAAAATGAAGGTCCAAGTCCCCTTACAAAGGGGGATAATCAAGAAAAGACAAAAATAGGGTAGGGTCATTAAAAAATCTTCTGATGAAGAACCACTGGGCCAGAAAAGCTAAAACTTATATGGATTAGTATCCTAGTAGTGTAGATTCTAAATTGTTTAAATCATGGCCCCCAGGGGTAAGGTGGGGCCATGATGTGGAAGCTTTTTGTGGTAGTTTAAATTCTTAAATGTTTAAATCATAACCCTGGGGGTAGGGTGGGACCACATTAGGGAAGCAAATTTTTTCATTGAAATATATAGGAAAAATCTTTTAAAATGTTCTTCTTAAGGAAGCTCTAAACACTGCCCACATAAGAGTTCTATTTGTAGGGTAGTTTTATTGAGTTAGAGTGATCTGCCCTTAGAAGAAAAATAGAATAAATGAGAATTTACAGTTAATGACACAATTTCTTATGAATTTAAGTATTCTTAATGTTATGTTAGACCAAGATTAAGTAATTGAATACATAATTTCCATTAATTTTTCTGATGCAAGCAAACAACAGTGATTTCTGTTCACAAAAAGTTCATTGTCTTTGAACATTTTTTCTGCAGAAATAAGGTAGGTACCCTATGTTGAGAATGAACTGAATAATTGTGCTCCTTTATATGGTATATTTTTCTCTCAGTCCAAAAAGCATTTTTCATTACTGTTTAGAGCTTCCTTAAGAAACACTGGGCCAGAAAAGTTGAAACTTATGTGAAAGCATTCTGGGGTAGTGTAGATTCTAAATTGTTCAAACCATAGCCCCAGGGGATAAGATGGGGCCACAACAGAGAATCCAAGTTTTTCATTGAAATGTAAAGGGAAAAAATTTTAAAATATTCTCAAGAACCGCTGGCCTGGAAAAGCTGAAATTTTGTGGAAGCTTCCTGAGATAGTGTAGATTATAAATTGTCCAAATCATGGCCCCGGGGGGTACAGTCCCCATGTTGTTATTCTTTACAATTCTATCGTGTCCTATCATGCATGAATCCTGTTGAAAAGGAATACCATTTTATGGACAAAAAATAAACATGTTTCTTTTACAAAGCATAGTTACCTCAAATGTTTTATCCTGATACATTTGATATATTTATTCATTAATATTTGCGGCTTTGTAAGAAATTAAAATTATCATTCTACAGTATATCAAAAAGAAAACAATTTGTCGTGTCAAAAAACATTATGCAATTTGAAACAATCCTATAAGGTTTTGCGTTTATCCTATCGTGAAGATCATTCATCAGGTCTGTCCTGTTTTTGTGTTTATTATATTTTGCTTTTATCGTGTTTTGCATTTATTCTATTATGCATGTATCCTGTCTTATCATGCCTGTATCCTATCGTATCGTGTCTGTATCCTCTCTTATCGTGTATCCTGTACAGAATAACGATACTGGTACTGTAGGGTTGGACAACAATAGGGAATCCAAGTTTTACAGTGAAATGTAAGGGAAAAACTTTTAAAAGAACCATTGGGCCAGAAAAGCTGAAACTGACATAAAGTAGATTTTAACTGTTCAAATCTTGACCCCTGGGGTAGGGTGGGGCCACAATATGGAGTTCAAAGTTTACATTGAAACATATAGGGAAAAAAAACTTTAAAAAGCTTTCCAAGAACCACTGGGCCAGAAAAGCTGAAACTTATGTGGAAGCTTCCTGAGATAGTACAGATTCTAAATTGTTCAAATCATGACCCCAGTGGTAGGATTGGACAACAATAGGGAATCCAAGTTTAACATTGAAATGTAAGGGGAAAACTTGAAAAATCTTCTTCTCAAGAACCACTGGGCCAGAAGAGCTGAAATTTAAGTGGAAGCATCCCAGGGTAGTGTAAATTCTAAATTGTCCAAATCATGGCCCCCAGGGGGAGGCCTAGAATGGGGCCACAATAGAAAAGTTTGACATTGAAATTTATAGGAAAAATCTTATTCTCAAGAACCGCTGGACCAGAAAAGCTGAAACTTATGTGTAAGCTTCCTGAGGTAGTGTAGATTCTGAATTATTCAAATCATGGCCCCTGGGGGTAGGGTGGGACCACAATAGGGAATCAATGTTTTATATTGGAATAAATACGAAAAATCTTTAAAAATCTTCTCCTCAAGAACCACTGAGCCAAAAAAGCTGAAACTTATAGGAAAGCTTCCTGAGGTAGTGTAGATTTTAAATTTTTCAAATCATGACCTCCGGGAGTAGGATGGGGCCACAATAAGTATTAAAAGGGGGAAAATCTGGTGAAGAACAGCAGGGACAAAGTTACTCAGGTGAGCATTGTGGCCCATGGACTTCTTAATAACTAGAAGTGCAACTTGAAAAATTAAGTTGAAAGTCCTTCATAGACAGAGAACAGACTTAAGTCAAAATTTTGAATTGGTATAACCCTTGAATTAATTTTTAAAAAGAAACAAAACTTTCATCATATGTTTGTATTTGCATCATATCAACTAGAAAGTTTTAATTTTTTTTTAATATAAATAAAAATCAAGATATCAAAATTCAAAATTTTGACTAAGTAAGTCTTTTCTCAGGTTATGGTTTTTGGTCCAGATTAATTATAAAGAATATTCAAATCAGAAATGTTCAGAACTGTTCATTATTCTTCTTTCAGCTTGACGGTTTGAAGTCTGATTTACGAGATGTTCTGTATTCTCACAAATGGACACCTGATGCCTATCTTCTTGCCAAGGCTTATATTGCAGAGGATGATGCCAAATCCACTCAGGAGAAAAGTCTGCCCAAAGTACCACTCAAAAACCCCTCCAGAAAACTGTAATTATCATTAATATATTTCATATTATAATCTGACCTGAGTCAAAGGGTAAAAAAAACTTTCCTGGCTTTGGGGCCACCAACTTAAAAAAAATCTCAGCTCAAATCTCATCCTTAAATCTTAGATTTCTGCCTCAACTGAGATTTTCTTAAAACGCCGTACCACCAACATTTCTGAGATTCGTTTCAGGTAAGCTGAGATTTGAGAAAAATCTTAGACTTTTTCTCATTGTTATATGTGACCTTTTTTTCTAACAATGCATGAATTAGTTGAGTGAAAGATTGGATTTACCTTTTAGTTACTTAAGTAGTTGTTTATGCAATATTTTAGTGTATAATCGTGAAAATACACATCCCTCACTTCCTTCATCCTTTATTTGTCGTTTTGAGTCATTCAATGGGAAGGATTCCATTAAAACCCTTGCGACAATAACTGTTCCCTGTGAAAACATCCCTATTAAAGTAAAATAACACAAAAACATATCCAAACTTTGTAGTCTTGGCACATCTGTAGACATAAACACACAGAAACTTACACTGAGGCATCACTTCTGTCACTGTGACTTTATATCTAGAAAGATTATGAAAAGAAAGGTAGGGGGATCAAAACTATATTTTGCAGTTTTACTGATTAAAATTAATCAATTTGATAAAACACATTTTAATATCTTTGTAAACAATTTCAAAGTCCATAAATTTAAAGAATTTAAACCAAGGCCAGAGCGAAATTAAAATTCTGAATTTGTGTAAATATTGGTGAATTTGGAACACGATGGTAACAATTAATGGCCAGAATTTTTTTTATTCAGGCAAAACAATTGTAATAAAACAGAAAACGCCATGATATTTAAATATATGTATAATTCAATGTTCTTTTTAACCCCACCCCTTTTCCTTATGACAAAGATCACTTTTTTGGCCCTTTTATAAAATGCAAACTTATTTTACACAATTTATAATCCTTATGTGAATCAGTATGCATTAATTTAAAATTTGAGACAAAAAAACAATAAAAGTTCAATGTGCAAGATCATTACATACAGCTCAACTTTTGCCATGCATATTTTTAGAAATCCAGTGTTCACCGCAAACACCCCAGTCCCAGAGCGTTGCCAATATTTCTCCAACTTGAGACGGATTTTTATGAAACTTGATTTAATATATTAAATGTTCATTACAGATTGGGAAAATAGTGTTATACTGGCAAGCAAAAATTTAAATTTTAATTGCAGTAAAGCCAAAATTTATATTTAGAAATATTGTCGTCTAAGATGTAAGGTTTGATTTTGTGTGTTTAGATGAAAAATGAGAAATAATGGCATTTTTTGGCCGTCATTGCTGTTCGTTTGTGTTTATGGGAAAATTAGTCCAGATTTCCTCTAAAATAATCTATCTTGACCACACAACGGCCTGATTTCAATGTATCAGGTTGAGAGAAATGCATGAAAATTGGGGGACACCTTAACAAATACTTTACCATCACACTCACTAACATCATTTACTCATAAACAATTTCAAAATCCATAAATAAACATACACTGAGGTATCACTTCTGCCTTTGTGACATTATATCTAGAAAGATTACGAAAAGTAGGTAGGGGGATCAAAACTATATTTTGCAGTTTTACTGATTAAAAGTAATCAATTTGATAAAACACATTTTACTAATCTTTCTGTTGTAAACAATTAAAGATCTACTTTAAATACTGTCAACTCCTTGTTAAGCAATAAACACAGTATATGATTTTTAGGTCACCTGAGTCACTCAGGTGACCTATTGCTATCTCTTTTCATCTATCATCGTGCGTTGTCCGTCCTTCGTCGGTCGTAAACTTTTGAACATTTTCAGCTTCTTCTTTGGAACCAGCAAACCAATTTCAACCAATTTTGGCATATAGCATCTATGGGTGAAGGGGAACAAAAATTTTGAAATTCGTGGCCCCTGCCCCCCTGGGGCCTGAGGGGTGGGGCCAAAACCATATCTTCTTCTCTACTCCTGGGTATTATTGAAACAAATTGAATACATAGTTATGATAAGCAAGAGTGACTCTACCAAAATTGTGAAATTCATAGCACCAGGGTCAGAGGTTCTGGTGCTAGGGCGGGGCTATATAGATCATATAGTGAAAGTGTATTATTTCTTTGAAAATCTTCTCCTCTACTCCTGGGTATTATTTAAACAAATGTATAGTTATGATAAGCAAGGATGCCTCTTCCAAAATTGTGAATTTCATGATCCCTGGATCAGAGGTTCTGATGTTAGGGCGGGGCTCTATTTATTATAGAGTGAAAATGCATTAATGCTTTAAAAATCTTCTCTGCACCTGGGCATATCAGAGGCAAAAAAAGTTAAAGTTTTAATAAGGAAGGGTATTTTTACCAGATTTTTGAACATCAGGACCATTTGGTCAAGTGTTCTGGTCCAGGCCAGGGATCTATTAATTTGTATTCTACTGAGAGGAGTTATTCCCCTTTGCCATTTACTTGTGATAATTAATCACTGTAAATAATGTACTTGAAAGGTTAATAGAATAAGAGAATTATGCAAGAATTTTTATTGTATAATACAAAAAGTACTTCCATAGTTTTAATGATCAGGTAGACTTGTAAATAATAGATAAATAAAAATGAGACAAAAATAACTTGTCTTATTAAATGTTCATCAAAGACCAAGAGAGGCCAATTTAAGAGATTTCAACAAGGAATTAAAAGAGTACAGAAGCACTGGTAGTTTATTTACATACTGTCTGGTGAGAGTGATAAATGGGGAACAGATTAGAACCTAATTTATTCAACTGCTAATGAATACTAGACTAATAATATTGTTGATCCTGATCACCCTATTTTCCTTGCTTTTGGGCAACAAAGCTTCACCTTTCAGTTCATTTGATACTCTATGGATCCTCTAAATTGTTGTATTAAACTCAGGTGACCGTTAAGGCCCTTGGGCCTCTTGTTTTTCCTAGCTAATCGAAAGCAAAATGCTTGATAAATAGCTAAATACTGCACATCATATTCTGAGGTGTTCCTTAAATTGTGCATAAGATGCGTCATAGAACATGTCCAGGGACGGGTAATAAATGTATGCTTAGTTTTTAGCTCTTCTGAGCCAAAGGCTCAAAGACCTAATCCTATGGCCACTTGTGTGGTGTGCATAAACTTTTAGAATATGGACCATAATTCATTCAAGAACCCCTTAGCCAATTATTGTCAAATTTGTCACAGGGTATCCTTGACCTAAGGACTCCCGTTTATACTAAAACTAAGGTTGTGACCCTTAAATAAGTGGAGATAATTAGGTAAATAAAACCAAAAGTACTGATTGCTAAAAAACCTTCTTCTCAAGAACCACAGGCAGATTATCACCAAACTTACACAAAAGGATGAGGATATATTGTAGATTAAAAATTATTCAAGGCATCACCCTGGGGCAAAGGGTTGGTCTCAAGGTCACTTCAAAGTTGACCAAAAATTACATTTTATTAAAATGTTGATATTTTGCTTACTATAAGGACTAGGATCATCAAATCTTGTCAGTTGATGCATCTAAAGACCTCATATCATGTTGACTCAAAAGCAGGTCGCAGTGACCTACTTTTTAAATTTTGCGGCCATTCTTTTTCAAAATGATTTAGAGGCATATTTTGAACAATTTAAGGCCTTAGCTGCTTATGATCATCAAACTTTGTCAGTTGATGTATCTTGGGTCCTTGGAGTGCGTCAACTAAAAGGTAGGTCACCTTGATCTACTTTTTGAATTTTATGGCTAATTTTTTTCAAAACAATTAAGGTCATTAATTCGAATACTGAGAGGTTTAGAATACTTAAATCTTATAAGATGATGAGTGATGAACAGATAAGAGAAAGAATAGTAATGTCTGATGACATTTTTTCTTTTCTTTGGGGGGAGGCTTGTCAAAGATTGTCAAGGATTTTTTTGATAGTTTAAAGTGCCCCCAACTGAAAATGTATATATAATTGTGCTGCTATGATTTTATTCTTGGATATATATATTAACATGTTGGAGGATGTTGTATCTACATCTTAATACAATAAATTCTTAGATTCTTCTTACCTAGAGAGAATATCTAATTTATTTTAGAAAGAGCAGTTGTTATTCGGGGTCTAGGATGCAACTTGATTATTAAATTATGCCTGTATGACACCTCAATCCAGATATTCATTATCATTGACACAAAAATAAATTGCTCATAGGAATACTACCTTTACATTTTAACTATTCTTTTAAAACTACCAGAGTAAAACACATTACAAAGCTTTAAACTGATTTCATTGCCGATTTACATGTTATTTATAAAAGATATGTGTATATATAAAGAACATATTAAGTATTCACACAAAAAATCGTTTTAGCATGTCACGTAAAATGTAAAGGCAAATATATGAATGATAAAATGTTATTGAACACAGGCATTTCAAACAATTTCTTTCAATACACTTTCTGCTTAAAAAAAAAAAAACAGAAAAAAAAACGTGGAAACAGTTATGAAAGTACGGGAGTGTTTTAATAACCATAAATCCTGTGTTTTCTGTTTACTCTTTTGCTGTTTACACTATTAATTGTGGCCTTATTTTTCATTATACTCTTGATCGTGTGGTAACTGAAATTTGTGCCGTACAGATGTAAGGTGTGAGCTTGCGTAAGACAGGTCAAACTGCTTATGAATCATTTCAATGAAAAAAAATATAAAAGGTTCTTTTCGCTAGTGTCACTTTTCAATTGATTTTATCATGTATTTTCCATTAAAGATCTCTTACAAATAGAATTTCTTTACGATCCATATCAAAATATCAGGGAAAAAAATCTGTCTGATTGAAATAATATATTAGTTCATAATTGATATACTTTTGTGTGAATATAGATATAAGTTACTATGAGAAATGATACCGTATCAGTTGCGGATCCAGGATTTTGTGTTAGAGGGGGTGCTATGAAATTGCAAGGGCTCTGAATAGGTAAAAAAAAAATGTGTCCTCTG